AACTGTATATCCTTGGCAGCACACCGACTGGCCATGCGAAAGCTCGGACGAAATCATGGCTACGACGTCATCGCCTGACGCCGCTACTCCTTTCTGAGCATGCACATGGCCCTATGTGCACTGTTATCCAATGCTCAGCTGCTGGGGTCTTGGCTCGCGTGCTGATAGAGAGGGCTCTGCGTGCCCACTGTGGTACACGTGCCATAGGTTCGCCACCACTGTCATAGACTGAAAACATTGTTCTTCAGTACATTTGCAATATTTTGAAGAATTGCTTAAGTAAGCGTGTATTTTATTTTATTTATTTATTTTTTTTTAACAGCCCTGTAAAAAGATTAGAACTTGGCATCTCCTTTTTAGGAGAATCACAGACTTTTGGTGCGAAAAGAAATTCATTGCTCTGTTACATTATTATTTTTTTTTTTTTAGATGTATCATGGTTAAAGCTGGAAAAGCAAATGGTGAATGTAGAGTGTGTATTATATGTTAACACACAAAGAGATTGCTTTTTACCTTTTTTGATATTTACTCAATCAAAAATATTTGTTTCCTTGAATGATCTTATAGTGATTCACCATTAACCCCCTCCTCTTAATTGTGTTGGTTGTGTGACTAAAGCGGGCTATACACCTACTAGATTTTCAAATGAAAATTCATATTAAAATTCTCAGGTCATTTGATGGCTTTATGAATGCTGTTCAAAATTTTGGTTTTTTTAACATTTTGTTTTTGCAATGAATGAGCTTTACCAAACAAATACTGTACCACATTCACTGTTAGAAATTTATCAGAGAAAATTTTTCCATCTAGCACCTTTAATTTTGGCCCTGTGGTCAAAACGTACTGTTAGTTTGACCCCACTAATGATTACTAAAGTTAATGAATGTTCTTAATCCAAAAAGCTGTGAACAAAATTCTACTAATGTATATCCAGCTTTAGCTCTCTTTCAGGAAGGTCACTCGCTGCCATCCTTGCATCTCAGTGGTAACCACTAAATACAGTGCCTTGAAAAAGTATTCATACCCCTTGAAATTTTTCCATATTTTGTCATAATACAACCAAAAATGTAAATGTATTTTATTGGGATTTTATTTGATAGACCAACACAAAGTGGCACAGAATTCTGAAGTGGAAGGAAAATTATAAATTGTTTTCAATATTTTTTACAAATATTTGAAAAGCATAGTGTGCATTTGTATTCAGCCCCCCGGAGTCATTACTTTGCAGAACCAACTTTCACTGCAATTACAGCTGCAAGTCTTTTGGGGATGTCTACCAGCTTTGCTCATCTAGAGAGGGACATTGTTGCCCATTTTTCTTTGCAAAATAGCTCAAGCTCTGTCAGATTGAATGGAGAGCATCTGTGAACAGCAATTTTCAAGTCTTGCCAAAGATTCCTAATTAGATTTAGGTCTGGACTTTGACTGGGCCATTTTAACACATGAATATGCTTTGATCTAAACCATTCCATTGTAGTTCTGGCTGTATGTTTTGGGTCGTTGTACTGCTGGAAGGTGAACCTCCGCCCCAGTCCCAAGTCTTTTGCAGACTCTTAAAGGTTTTCTTCTAAGATTGGCCTGTATTTGGCTCCATCCATCTTCCCATCAACTCTGGCCAGCTTCCCTGTCCCTGCTGAAGAAAAGCATCCCCCCAGCAAGATGCTTCCACCACCATGTTTCACAGTGGGGATGGTGTTTTCAGTGTGATGTGCAGTGTTTCGTTTTCTGCCACACATAGCGTTTTGCTTTTAGGCCAAAAAGTTCAATTTTGGTCTCATCTGACCAGAGCACCTTCTTCCACATGTTTGCTGTGTCCACCACATGACTTCTCACAAATTGCAAGAGGAACTTCATATTTCTATTTTTTCAACAATGGTTTTTTTCTTAACCACTCTTCTATAAAGGCCAGATTTGTGTGGAGTGCACAACTAATACTTGTCATGTGGACAGATTCTCCCACCTGAGCTGTGGATCTCTGCAGCTCCTCCAGAGTCACCATGGGCATTTTTAGCTGCTTCTCTAATTAATGCTCTCCTTACCCGTCCTGTCAGTTTACGTGGATAGCCGTGTGTTGGTAGGTTTGCAGTTGTGCCTTACTCTTTCCATTTTCGGTTGATGGATTGAACAGTGCTCCGTGAGCTGGTCAAAGCTTGAGATATTTCTTTTACAACCTAACCCTGCTTTAAATGTCTCCACAATTTTATCCCTGACCTGTCTGGTCTGCTCCTTGGCCTTCATGATGCTGTTTGTTCACTAATTATCTGTAACAAACCTCTGAGGGCTTCACAGAACAGCTGTATTTATACTGAGATTAAATTACACACAGGTGGACTCTATTTACTAATTAGGTGACTTCTGATGGCAATTGGTTCCACTAGATTTTCCTTCGGGGTATCAAAGTAAAGGGGACTGAATACAAATGCACACCACACTTTTGAGATATTTATTTGTAAAAAATGTTGAAAGCCATTTATCATTTTCTTTCCTCTTCACAATTATGTGCCACTTTGTGTTGGTCTATCGCATAAAATCCCAATTAAAGAAAATTTCCACATTTTGTCATGTTGCAACCAAAATCATAAATTTAAAGGAGCATGAATAATTTTTCATGGCACTGTATTAACTGCAATGAGAATTTTGTTATATCCTAAACTGCCTTAAGACCTTTGAGATAGAGCATGCTGTCCTGCAAACCAGGACTATACCATGGAGCCTGTTCAAGTTGAACTTTTTACAATATTCATACATATTTGAGAAGGTATAGCTGCTAGTGACATGTTTTGCAGTCTGTCTTGGTAATTTATGACTTATGCAATGTATTCTGTACATACATACCAAATAACCCATGGCCTTGTTTGTAAACGTGTAAGTGGGAGGACAAGTGGTTCTTTAATTTGCTCATACTCTCCTCAATGGGTCAATATCATTGCTTGGGATCACACAAGGTAACTCAATATAAACAAAGCCTTTCCTTTGCTTGTTTAAAGTAGTTGTAAACCTCAGACATGAAATATGTTTAGAGCATATCCCTCTATAGTGTGTACGTGTCTCTATTAAGAGCACTTAGTGTAGTTTCTGTCTGCTGCTTCGTTCTTCTGCTCTCAGCGTGAATTGCTCCGGGCAAGTTTTCCTGACACCAAGGGGAAAATGGTGACAGGGGAGGGGCCTCCAGCAGATTGATAGCCTCAGCTTTGTTCTTGTCAGCTGTGTATGGAGGCGGGTGTATCTCTTTCCTCAAATCAGCTCTCTAAGCTCTCTTCACTGAGCTTGTAGAGTGTAGTTTCAGCTCCCAGTCCCTTTTTTTTTTTTTCTGAACTCTCAGACAAGCTTTATAAATTCAGCACTTTCAGTGGATGTAGAGAAAAGACGACTACAGATAGACAGACCGGTACAACTGATGTAGGAGGATTTGTTTTATTGCATCACCTGAGACCAGGCACTTAAATGTGTATATGTAAGGGTTTACAACCACTTAAAAAAAAAAAAATCTATTCACTTATGTATTCATAACTCAGAAAACTACCTTTTTGTTGCTCCCATATTCCTCCAAATTCCTTCTTTTTTTTTTTTTTTTTTTTTTGCTGCTGTGAGGTTGCCTAAATTTGTTCTCCATACTCCCACTGTTGTAGGAACATAGCCACCCTCTCTTGCTCACTCCCACTCCCTGTGTAGTGTCCATAGAGCTGTGCACATAACCACAACCATTAAATAGAAGACATGTATAGATTATTTTTGGACATTTAGAATTCTTTTAGTGTCAATTTTATTTTTTTTTTCGGTGAACCTGGGGCAGATTGAATCACCCGTTAGAGAGCGAACGTAGCCAGCACTGCTAGAAACTATGCAGTTAAAAGGTGGATGTACTAAGCCCCCAGGCAGACGGCAGCCTTTTATGGGTCATATCAGCCATACAGTTTACCAGCTGTTCTGTGTTACTTTGTTCTTATATTAGAACAAAACTAATGACTGAACAAATGTTGGATGTTTGGAAACTATGCCGGTTGGGTCAGTTTCATCATATTTTATTAGTTTAAATCAGGAGTACTCAACCTTTTGAAGAGTGAGGGCCACTTAAGTGAATTGGTAACCAGTCGCTGGCCACAATGAAATGAAATGGTTCCAAATTTTGAATAGCATAATGAACATTTTCCTCCTGCAGCCACTGGATGCTGGCTGGAGGGAGTGGAGGAGAATCTGGCTTTCAGTGGTTGCAGGTGGAAAATGGAGAGGATCGGTTCCTGTATATGTCAGCCCTGCCACCCCTCCTGTCCAAGTGTAAAACAGAATGTGACAGGAGACTGCACGGGCCCCCTGGAGCAATAGGTTGGGGGTTGCCATTGTTACCCCTGATGCTACACCGGTGGTTGGGGGTGTGGTAAAAAACACATCTCAACTATGAGGTTTTACTGCCCCCCCCAACCTCAAATGTAAACGAGTCCTTGCTATCCTGACACCAAGGACCCCCTGTAAGGCTGCTTTTACACCGATGCACTGCAGTTTACCCGATCTGCGGGTGCATCATAGTGCACCTGCGGTTTTTCTGCTGGTTATCTGCTCATTGCCATAGACTTCTATTATAGCTTGCGGGTGTGGTGCTCTTTCTGAAATAAACCAAAAATCCTGCTTTTTATTTGAGGTGGAGGGCCGCAGATTGAACACCCTGGTTTGAATGTTTTCATATTGAAAATTATGGTTGTGTGATTCCTCTTCTTACCTGAGCAACCACCGAGCGATGTCCGGCGCTGGACATAGAGATAAGTGAAGGAAAGATGGCCTCCACTCATCTCTATGGACCGGAGCGATGTCACTTACGGTTCTGGTGCCTTGTAAATGAGGCCTTTTTTTTTTTTTTTTTTTAAAGCTCTAGATCACTACTTATTTCTATCACAAGGGATTCCTGCATTCCCTGTGATAGGAATAACAGTGATTTACATTTTTTTTTTTTTTAAAGGGAGAGTGTAAAAAAAAACAAATTAAAAAAAAAAAGTTTAACCACTTCCCAACCGGCCCATGTATATAAACGGCCGGACAGGAGCATTGCAGGAGTGGGTGGCCGTTTATTAACATCCTACCCGCTTCCCTGCCTGTGCATGCTGCCCGATCGCTATACGGGACCTGTGTGTGAGGTCCCTATCATGTGATCACTGATTGGCCAATCAGTGATCACATGAATATTATTAGTAAGCAAGATGTCACTTCTGACATCATTGCTTACTACTAGGGAAATCTGTGAATGATCACGGAGGTCACATGGGGCCCCTTGGAAGCATGGCTGAAATATTCAGCAATCCCCGTGACCTTCCTTGCTTGTACATTGTAGAAACAAGGCATGGGGGCGTTGCTAATTGGGAGTTTTTCATCCTGGTTTTCAGGGGGACCCAAATTGTCCACAGGTATGACAATAAAATTAAAGAACATTTTGTATAGTGGCACAGTTAATATGTATTGGGGCCCCTTGGCTGCATAGGCAATGTTATGGAAATGGTGAACTCTGCCTTTAAGTGGAAGTCCCTTTTTTTTCCCGATAAATCCAGACCTCAGTTTTCCTGGTGGAAAATGCTAAGACGATCTAAAGTCACATAATACACAATACAATACAATAATATAATAATAACATAATACACTTTTTTTAAATACTTCTAATTAATGCTTTTACCTACACATTTTATGACATACTGCATTCTAATAACAATATACACAATAGTTATTTTTGACAAATAGATGCTTGCTTGAAAAATCTCCTTTCATGTTGTGAGAGCTGCCAGCCATCTTGTTTTCACACCTTTGGATTCCCTGCATGCTTTGCAGCTTCTCCTCTGTTGTTTACTTTCAACTTCAAAGGTCTACATTCCCATATCCCAAATGTGTAACACAGTACTATACGTTTACATAGTAAATATTTATGACTGCATTCAAGAAAGTAGGTGTGTGAGTTTTTAAACTAGGATTGTTCAGATTAACAGGAGTAGGCTAGAAATGAAATTAAATCTGGAAATAAATATATTTTTTCATTTGTGACTATAGATACATATAGAAGCAGACAATCCCTAGATCAGGGTCTCCAAACTTTTAAGAAAAGGGCCAGTTTACTGTCCTTCAAACTTTAGGGGGGCCGGAATGTGGCCAGCAGGAGTCAGTGGGAGGAAGAGTGCTCCATCTTTGGTATTAGTGGGAGGAATAATGACCCATCGTTGGTTGGTGTCCCGTGGGAGGAATGGGAGGAATTGTGTCCCATTGTTGGTGTGAGTGGGAGGAATTGTGTCCCATCTTTGGTGTTAGTGGGAAGAATAATGACCAATCATTGGTGTCAGTTGGAGGAATAGTGTCCCGTTGTTGGTGTCAGTGGGAGGAATGGTGTCCCATTGTTTTGGTGTCAGTGGGAGGAATAGTGTCCCATCTTGTTGATTATATTGTGCGCCTCTGTTGGAAGAAGGAAGGGGGAATGCCCTTCAGCACATGACAGGAGTGTAAAGGGGAGAAGAGTTAGAGAGAGGAAGTTGGGTATAGGTGGAGGAAGAGAGGCCAAAGCAGAAGAGGAAAATGGAAAAGGGGACTTGCCTGGGGGAGGTAGAGGGAAAGGGGAGAGGGGACGGCTATGAGCAACTTGGGACTTGAGCAGAACTGTAGGAGGAGTAGGGTATGTTCTATGTTCAGACAATCGTAGGTTATCCATGGATCCCAAACCTTTAAAAACGTGGACTGGGAATCTTCCAGAATAGAAGTGAGTCTCTCATGTACCATGATGCCCAAAAGTTTTTGTTGAACCTTAGTAAAGTTCAAAAATGGATGGCACTAGGCTCTGTCTATCTTTTGTTGGGTTGCCAGGAATACAAAAAAAATTTTTTTTTTCCTAGAAAATTACTTGGAACCCCCTAAATTATATATTTTCTGAATGCAGAGGCCCTGGAGGATAAAATGGTGGCGGTTACAATTTTTTGTGGCACATGACATTTGCGCAGCTGTTTATCAAATACAAATTTTCATAAAAAAATAAATTTGAATGAATTGGGGGTACACGAACACAATCTAATACTCCAATTATTAGTTAAATATAAAAAAGATCATGCGTTGAGTAAATAGATACTAAACATGTCAGCATTTAAATCTACAATTATCAATAGGTGACTCTTTTTAAAAGCTTTTACAGATTATCATTGTAGAGTTAATTGTGAATTATGGAGTTAGAATTATTGCTCTCACTCTGATGTTTGCAGCGATACCTCACATATGTGGTGCAATCACTGTTTACATATGCGTGCCGGACCTACGTTTGTGCTTGCATATATTTGGGGTGGGGAGAACTGGGTTGCTTTTACAACTTTTTAAACATTTTTTATTTTATTACGGAAAAGTGTGAACTGACCAAAATGTATCATCGAGGAATAACATCATGCTCCATAATAGTGTGTGTAGAAGAAATAAGGTCCTGCTGTGTCTTGGTCAGGTCAAGAAGTATAGCCCATGGTAAATACTACCCTCGTGCAGTGGAGCCTTGTGTTT